ACAAGCAATTCGGCCATCAGGCAAGAAGGAAGATGTTTCGGTACACAAAACTAAAAGTTTCTTTTAGGTCCCATTAGGCAAAAAGACACTGAAGGTGCAGAAAGAGATAATTCACTTGTAGAGACATTAGGTTAATTTGGAAGCCGGAGAGAGGAAAAATTAGCAACGCCTTCGCCGGGAATCGAACAACGGACCTCTGAAATACCGGCTAAGTGTGCTGAACACAACATCACGAAGGCACGCTACATCATCACGAAAGAAGTTGGGAGAAATATCTTAAGCACTATTCTGCTCAAATGTAAACAAGTTTCTAAGGTAAACAGGAATAGCTGCTATAGTAAGAAAACTTAGGCTTAGCTGCACTAAATAACTTTTAAATTGTTTATAATTCTACAATTATTGCATGCAGATTAACCAAAGACATAAAATCCTTAACCGGAAGATACAAATTACATAGTTCAATCATTTTTAAAGCAAAAAATGCACAATTTACCAACATATAAAAGTAAAAAAAAAACTGAGCTCACTGAGCCAAGTAACAGATTGGGTATGCATAAGTACTTTTGCTGCTGCCGACTGCAACCAAAAAGAGAGGTGCACAGCTACATTTTATAGCACTCCTATATACAACATTTAAACGTTCTGATGCTACTCGTCTTTAAGTTATCTGAAATACATACATACGTACATACGTACGTACAAAACGTCACGAAAAAAATCTCTTCTGAATGCATTTTAAATCAGTTTTATAATTCGTTTGGGGAAAAACAGTCATTTATTCTGTCGTTACGTACAGATGTCAGGTAAAATCACCGCTAAATTGCATTCGATAGTTGTCAAAATGGATATTTTCGTTGAAATACGGTACCCAGAATTTTTCGTGATTACCATACTTTCTTTACTTCGTACAAGGAAATAAAATTATATAGTCAAAAATTTTGTTCATAAAATTTCTGATATACATATATGTCTCAAAGTTAGACAATATATTTTTTAAACTAAAGAAGAACACATGTTTATTTTTATCTTTTTGCACGTTTTTGAATAACGCTGGGGAGTAGCAGTTTCGTTCTTTAGATTGACACTTGTTTTTGACTAACTTGTGGCCTCTGAATCCAAAAATAACCTGTTTTTTGTCGTTAACCTCAGCTTTTAAGCTACAGGATACCCTCTCTTTGTCTCAGAAGTCATAAAAATATGCATATTAAGGGGAAATAAGGGAAAAATTACCAAATATACTGTGTCTAAAGAGTAATTTTATTCATACAAAGCCTATATATAGTTATTGCAAGTTCAGTTTTGTTCATACTCTTCAGATTAGTTGAATGTTCTTTTTCCTAAATGGTAAACACACATATTAAGATAAAAATTTTCGTTCGTGGCTTTCTCTGGATTGTTTAATCTGTGATCGCTTGATGCTATAACAGTAGACAGACATCTCATGCACATCCCATCTACGAGTACCTTGTTACCGTGTCTCCATGACCTTCAAAATTTTGTAGAATCTCTCATCCTGCTCATTACTGACTACATCAAGAATTTTCGGGAAGTTGTTAAGATGGTTATGTAAAAAGTGCAAATTGATGTTCATGTCGTAATCAAGCATTCTGAAGCTCTCCAAAAGTTGACGTATTTCCAAAATTAAAAATGTTGCTCCAAAATCGCTGTATTTCCGAGAGGGCCTTTGACAATGTTTTCGAATGGCAGTTAAGTATTCTTTTGAAGTTATCTCATTGTTCCTGTGAAATGTTCATCTTTCAGGAGCAGCTGAATCTGTAGGCGATCGAACTTACCGGCCTTTATTTTTTCAAATGACAGGCCAGGAAATACCGAAATGAGGTACTTGAATCAGTCTCCTTCATTTGGCAAAGCTTTAACAAATTACTTCATGAGACCTTAGTTTTATATACAGAAGTGGATATATAATATACTTTCTGTCGACACGTGGCTGATATAGAATGTTTGGATCACCAGGTTTCAGGTCAGATCTTAGGGGCAGATTCGATTGCACCTAATGCTTCTCACGAGCTCTGCTGCCCCACATACACCCAAAACAAGAAAACAAGGATATTTGGTGTATCCGCGTTGCTAGTCAAGGAGGAAGCAGACCATTTGAAGGTCAATACAAATGATCCATTTGTGCATGCAATATTGCAACAAATGAATGACTTTATGTATGTCTTCATATTATTGACACAAACAAATTTAATGGCATATCGGGAATGTATCAAACAAATTTTCGTTGTACAGAAGGGCACACTTCAAGCTTCGCTTTGAGCTATGATGAACAATTGCCATCTAGTTGCTTTATACGCTCAAATTCCAAACTCTTCCATGGCAATATACAAATCCATTATCACTTCGAAAGTATTGCAGAAACGCACTTTCTCTTGATCGAAAGCAGGTCACCTTATAAGGTATTTCTCATGTCTTCTTAGCATGTCTTCGGATGTAATGGTTGCGTATTCGAGAAGTCTGAGATTCGAGTTCCGGCGAGGGCATTGCACATTTTTCATGTTTTCTGCTTCCAAAATAACCTAATGTCTCTACAACCTTAGTTCATTTTTTAAGCAAGTTTTTCTTATGCAGTCTTGATGCTAACAGCTCTGAGACTTTTTGGATAGCCCCCCAAATCTCGTTTCAGATCATTCAACTCATGCTGGTGAAATCCCTTAGAAACGGAATCATCTTAAGTTTCAAAATCTTCTTCGCTGGGTCAATTCCATATTCACCAGAATCGTATTCCTATATTTCCAAACAGGGTAATTCTTTGCAAACTTACACTGAGAATTCAGCTGAGCGAGTGTAGCTGATGGTAAACTAAGATACTCTGTTTTACAGTTTTACTTGTTATAACCTTTATTTTCTCTATACAAAAGTAACAATCATTTGAGTGGTATTTTGGGTTCCCGCCAAATCAGAGGTATACCAAATGGAATTTTAGTACGTGTTCCTTTTAATCCACAACAGTAAACTCTCGACACACTACTTACGCATGTGTGAGGGGACTTTGATCTATCTTGATCATCAATTTTCACTTTAAAATAGGCAAAATAGGCTTGCCTGACAAATATGCTGCTGTTTGTCTTTTGCCTGGAAATGGTAAAACTAGCACATGTATAAAAATAGCCGGTGCTTTTTAAGCACTTACGACGCGGACTAGCAGATGCAGACATAAGGAAAGGTTTTAGTTCAGATATATATATATACACTGCTAACATTGTATGCAAACAAGTATGCAAAGAACATTGTATGAATTCTTATATTTATATATGGGAAAGTTTTATGCTCGCTATGAAAAAATAAAAATATAAGAAGTTTGACTATCGTATCCCAAAAATTGACCAGGATATTTAATTTCAGTTTACAATTTTTAACGTCATTTTCAACTAGAATAATTCGCGAAAAGAAGTTTAAATGGAGTTCAGCAAAAAATGTGTATGATTTAATAAACCTCGGTTCATATCATATGGTGTTCATATGAAAAAATGCATTGTATGGTGGTCACATCAGCGTTGTTTTTTTTTTTTTTTTTTTTTTTTTTTTTTTTTTATTCGCTACTTTTCTGCAAGCGATAATTTCGGCAGGCTCCTGTTATCTACTGTCCTATGGTGATTTAACAATATAATACGATATGAAGATCATTGACGGAAAAAAATCTCAGGTTTCGTCTAAAGTTTAAATATCTTTAAATCGAATTTATCATCTGCTTTTGAATTCGAACCATAAAGGAGAATTTCTAAAGTCTTACAATTTAGACGCGCCTTCCTCTGTATTAAAGATTACAGTGGCTCTCTGCACACGTTTTAGACTATTGTCATTGTATTTAGAGAAAAAGAAATACGTTACTTAAAATTCTGTACTTTAAATGTTCTACTTGATAACTCTTCACCATCTTTCTATACCGTTATAAGGTATTTCTCCCGCCATCTTAGCATGCCTTGGTAACGTAGTAGTCAGCACGCTGGTCGTGTATTCTAGAGGTCTGTGGTTCGATTCCCGGCGAGGGCGTTGCTCATTTTTCATCTTTCCTGCTTCCAATTAACTTAATGTCTCTACAGTGGTGCCCGAACTAAAAAGAGTGGTGGATGATGATTCTCCACACCCAGGGTTTGGCGATTGGGTCCTCCAGTCGCCTTTTAAAAGGGGGAGTCTAAAAGGTATTTCTCCCGCCATCTCAGCATGCCTTGGTAGTGTAGTAGTCAGTACGCTGGGCGTGTATTCCAGAGGCCCGTGGTTCGATTCCCGGCGAGGGCGTTGCTCATTTTACATCTCTCCTGCTTCCACTAATCTAATGTCTCTACACTGTAATTTCCAAGACAATAAAGCATTTTGCAGTATCACAAGATATATTTTATCCCATTCCTCTCGAACACCTTTCCAAAGTCCAAGGCGAGTTGTAGGTCGATGCTTGGACAACCCGCTATTTAAAAGTCCAAAAGAGCAAAAATCTGTGGTTGATACATAAGGAGATTAGTGAAGGGCGTGGCTTTTATGCTCGTTTCTTGTTTGGTTTTTTCCAAGAATTTAAGAGTGGATTTTGACGTGCGGCTGTTTGATAGAGTTTTACTGATTGGCGGCACTGTGGGTAAAAAGAAGGTATTTCATATTTAAAAATTGGATATGAAATATGTTCTTGATAACATGTGGAGTTGGTCTTAAGTTGAGAATAGAGCACCAGGAAAGCTTTCTTTACATTCTTTCGCGAATTTTTGCTTATTCTTATTTGCTTTCCGCGAGTGACTATGTTTTGCATTTCTAAGAAATAAAATATAAGCATTAAATATACCTAAAGCAGTTTCGGACTATTTTTCAGTGTTAATAAGTGAACGACATTACACCGTCATTGTTTTTAACATTATTCAGCTGTTTTGCTCAAAAACAACACATTTGAGAATTTTTGCAACGTAAGTAGGTTAAGATGATTTAAGCATTTTTTATATTTCTTGACGTTAAACAAGATGTAGGTGCTCAAAACGCAGATTTTTTTTATTCTCCTTCCTGTCTCGTAGAATTATGCTCTGAAATCCTGCACAAGAACTTGAGTACCCTTTACATGATAAATAGACACAGATGTGTTTCTCTGATCACCTGAAATATATGTAAGTATCATATATTTTATAATTAATTTTATAATCAGAGCTCTAATTATTATTCCACTCTTGATATCTGCAATTCCAGTTATTTGAAACATTTGTTTCTTTCTGAGGAAAATAAAGTAAAATTTACTAACTTGACTTCTTCGCTAGTGTGGATGATATCTTCATTAAAATCATGTTTATAACTAGTAATAAAGCGAAAGATTTTATAATATATATTGCCATGTTCTTAATTTTACATTTTTATGTCATTAACCCGCGGGAAGGCGCGTGGGGTGTATCATACCCCAACCCCACATAAAAGTGGAATATTCCTAAACTTGTGAAACTGAAATTCTGTGATGCTTTCAGTAGCTGAGTTTCTAGTTGAGGTTGACTTTCAGAACAGCTTTTTCTTTGCCTGTGTGTTTCAGAAAAAGATTTATCGGTATTTTGTTGGAACTGAGGTATGACACACCCCACGCACCTGTCCGTGTAAGTGTTTTTCTGACTGAATATGTAGTTCAGAAATTTATTTCTAGAGTGTAACAGTAAATATTTCTAGTCGCAAGTGATTTTAAAGCACTTGACATTAAATTCTTGAAAATTTCTAACTGCATTATGGTAAAAAGAATGAGTCCCTATATACTGGAGATGCAACGCATGTGAGATTTATTAGAAATATTTGAAAGCGATGAAAATTGCATTTCGGAAACTGAATATGAAACTAAGAATATTTTCTACAATGTAAAAAAATTTTTTCCAAAAAGATAAAACATTAATTCCTGATGTTCCTAAAAAGGGAAAACTGTTCTTATGCTTTCAACATTATATAAAGATCATACTATAGATGATACTATTAGAGAAAATAAAACGTCAGGAATTATATGTTTTAATAATACGACTAAAGGAGCAGTGGATATGGGGGATGAAATGTCAGCCAATTATTCAATTGCCTGAATAACAAGGAGGTAGCCAATGGTAATTTTCTTTCCTGCACTGTGAATGTTGCTGTAATAAATGCTTGAATTATATTACATTCAACTGCTAATCCACCAACCAGAAACAGAAGTCTGTTTTTGAAGGACTTAGCATTACAATTAATGAAAAAAAGTATTGAACAAAGATCAGAGATTAATACTTTTCCAAGAAATTGACGTACTGCATGCAAAACAAAAGCAGAAGTTTCGACGAAGAATTAAAACGAATACATGAAATTCGAAACAACTAAGTATGAAAGATGTGATAAATTTTTTGCCCTCGCGCCAAGGACAGAAGAACGTGAATGCAATGTTTAAAATGTGAAAACATTCTGTGCCAAGAACACATGAATGTATTTCGTTCAAAGTGTGAAGAAATAAAATAAGCATGGTGTATTAGAGATGCAATGAAACTTAGAGGCATGATGTTTATTTTTTATTATTTTCATTTATCTTAATTTTAACTCTAAGATTATTTTCGGAAATTAATTTTTTGAAACCCAATTATTATTCACTTATTTATAATACACGAGAACAAAAAAAAGTTTTAAAACTTGTAAGGATTATGTTAATTTTATTAACAGTTAAATTTTAAGTTAAAGTTCCTTTCCTGTCAAATTCTTAACTTCAACTTACTACTTCCGGCCAGAACGTAGTTTTGAAATTTGCTGAATATTTAATGAAAAGGAGCGGTTTTAAACCACGAAGTTACTTACCGAGACAGAGAGAGAAACAGAGTTTCTGAACTACGCGCGTCTGCCTTTTTGGCCACTCTCTCTCTCAAGCTGTTATACGCTCGGCCGTACTTAGGCCCTTGCTAAGCTTCGTAGTAAAATAGGTTAAGGGGCCAACTCTCATTGTACCTTGATATCTTTGGCTATACTTAGTTAGTTAATCTTAGTTTTAGTTTAATTCTTAGTCTTTTAAGTTCAAGTCCAAAGTGCGGACTTTATTTGTTCACTCCCAGGCGGAGTTTTGTGAAATCTTATAGAAATAATAAAGGGTTATTTACCCTTCTCTCTTGTTGTTTCCTGTCTTCGAACTCTAGCGATTATTCGCTTATCAGTTCCTAGGTTCCTCACTTCCAGCATTAACTTAGAATTTCAAGTGAGGGACCTTACAAACTAAATAATACTGTTTTTATTGTATTTTAAATATTGGGGTATGTGATAACCCACGCGCCCACTCTAGTAACTTTCCTTGGTGCGACTTTCCGCAGGGTTAAAATCAATTTTTACGTTTAATTCAAGTTGAAAGTTGAAAAGCAATAAGTTTCGTTTCATTCCATGAATAGAAATTTTAATGATTAAAGAAAAAAATTAAAAACACAGAAAAATCATAAAAAATAAATTCTGAAAGCTTTCAGATTTTATATTACGCTCAAAGAATTATTTAACGTTTTGTGTGTTACCTTTATTTATTAAATATCATGTTCTTTGCGCTTAAACCATAAAATCCAGCTTAAGAGCAATATCGCAAAATAATTTTAAATTGAGCATATCTTTAGAATTTTCGATACACAGTCTCACGCGCTGGAGATAAAAATGTTTTTTCTGTAAAACGTTGCCATGGCTCGCTTTGAAATCCTTGAGTTTGTTAATCAAAAATTCGTTAAAGTTTTACAAAATATGAAATCGATAATAAAACAAATTCAAATTTCAAATATGGTCTTCCACATGCCCCTATTCGCAGTAGGATGACGTCATTCAAAATTCGATGGCTCTAGGTACCGTTGTTTTATCGCAATGCGAGAAACATGCATTTTATGCAGATTCTTCATTGTTTAATTTATTCAAATATAATGCAGGGCGATAATATTTTGCGGCAACAGTTTGAAAAGTCATTCAGCCTTTTAAAGATTTCAAAGCAAAATGCCAAAACGAAAACAATATTCCCTCAGAGACAAAGCCCCTTTGGACTGAAAACTAAATTAGTTGAAAATAAACTAAATTCTTAACATATGGAAGATTACAGCATTGCAATAGTTTCGCGTATCACAAAACGTAACAAAGAGCTTATTATTTCTTTCCTGTTTACAAAAATTGGACCGTATGTGTGAAATTTTTTTAAATATATAAAAAAAAGAAGAGTTATGAAAATCATAAAATCTTTTAAACACGTCTGTATTTTTAATGCAAGTTCTAGGCCTGGAAGAATGTGAAGGAAAGTTGAATTACTTTTCCTGTATCCTGTATTACTAGATAAGTTATTTTAAGATTTAATTCCTAGGTGAGTTATTTTAACAGTAGTAATCATTAGGTTAGTAACTTCACCAATCAAACTCATTAAGTCTCATAATCGTCGTACAAATTTTCCGACATTTTGTGAATATCACAATATTTCTTAAATATTAAATTCATCACCCTAAAATATCTAAAGTCACAGCACACCAAAAGCGTTTAATAGTCCCTTTAGAGAATTTTCGGTAACTGAATATATTGAACCAGTGTTTCTCAAATTTTCTAGTATCGCTGTCATAGGTTTATATTTCAATTAATTGCGACCTACAGTTTTTGTTGTAATTTCAAGTGGTTCACAGAGTACAGTTTCTCTTAAAAGAGAAACTAGAAGAAAGCTAAAAACAAGAGCTAGAATACAAAGCTTAGGAGAAAGTAATGAATAATGATATATATATATATATAAACAAACGTAAGGAAGGATTATTAAGACTCTACTATTAAGACTATTAAGAACTATCAACTCACTGTTATTCCCCTTTCATTCTTATGATTATATATATACATATATATATATGTGTGTGTGTGTGTGTGTGTGGTGTGTGTAAGGTATAATAAAATACGACGGCTATGCGTCCAAATAATCGGAAACCTCAAAATTGACTATTCTAAATTTGTGTTCCCCCCCTAAATTCATCTGTTCTCCTAAATTCGAGATCTTTCCAAGTTCATATCGCTGCTTGAAAAAAGGAACTAAAACCTAAAATTAACTAATCATAGTTTAGCAGCGCATATGCATCTATCTGGTATAATAACTGCTTCTCAAGCACCTACATCATTCCTTTTCCTAACTTCTACTATGAAAACATCTCTACGCTACTATGCCCTCCTTTTTTCTTTATCTAAGATGACGTAACGTGTATATAGAAATTATTGTATCTGCTTATGATCAAAACGTATATCGTCTACAAAGAAATGATCTTGATGTGCCTAAAAATAAAGATGGTAATTCGCCGAAATTAGTTTTGTCAACATTTTCTTCTTGCCTTTTCCACTCAGCTATCAGGACTACACAGTAAAATATAACATATATATGTTATGCATTATACACTTAGTTAATGGGGATTTTTTTTTTTTTTTCATTTTTATTAGGAGATTTTGGAATTTTACGGGTTTTGAATTTCATGTCTTTGTGGATTTGGTTCTAGGTATTTTACTATTTTGTCTATATACATATAATTATATGAATTTAACAAACATTCTCTATTCGTAAAAAGTTAATTAAATTTTAATTAATGAAATTCAATGCAAACAAATAAATGATTACTTATTAATGCCAACTAATCTACAATATCATTTAAATTCTGAAAGCATATGTAAATCAAGTGCAAGTATCAAAATTCATGAATAAATATATAACTCAAAAAAATTTTTAATCCTAAAAAATTTATAAAATGCATAAGTGAATAATTGTTGAGCAGGCAGGAGACAAACTTATCAAAGGGGAAGTTGCCTCCAAACCTAACTCTTCAATTATTCAATTCGTGTTTCGTCATCCATGTAGACAAGCGTAAAAGTGAAAACCAAAAGTAAAACCAAATGTTGTGAATTACTCTAAAAAGAAATTTAAACAAGTGGAATTTTGAGAAATTAGCAAGTAAAAGACTAGAATTAAAATAAAAAAAATCTTATGTGTACACCACAGGACTTCCTTGTACGGAATATTAAATTATACGCATTTTTTCTTGAATTGCATTTAAATTGATTGGATTTAATTAAATCTACTTCGTCGACAGCGCATAAATCACAATAGAATAAATGCACTCTTTAAAATTCACTATATTTGTTTACTATAACGACACTCTGAATGCACAAAATTTATATCATTTGAAGAATTATCGTTGCCACATGTTCTATTCAAGTACTATAATAAAGCTAAAACGATGTATGAAAGAAATTAAGCAAAATAAACAGAAAAGAAATCGTTTTTCACAGACGATTTAGTATTTCTCATTCAATTAATTCAGCTCTCACTTCGCGACAAGGCAAAAATGCATAAAAACTCAAAATATCTGCATTAAAAATTACGAAGTAAATCTTAAACACTTATTTTCTCGAAAAAATTCCAGAAAGCATTAAGCATGATTTAATTCGCAATAATAAATGAAGGCGTTATTTTTGTGTTGCGAAGCTTAGTCTACAAATCTACAACAAATCTACAATTCTGCTGTTTCAAATGTAAACAAATATGTCCGCCATGTTATTTAAAACTTAACCGCACTTAAACAGCTTTTAAATTGTTGATAATTGTTCAAATATTGCTTCCAGAATTATGAAAGGCATAAAAACCTTAACCGGAAGATTAAAAACAACATAATTCAATCATTTTTTAAAGCAAAAAATGTACAATTTATAAACATACAAGAGTAAAGTACGTACATACGTTCGTACAGACGCCACGAAAAATTCTCTTCAGAATTAATTTTAAAGCAGTTATATATATATTATATATATATATATATTTTTTTGGAGGAAAGGTGTCTTTTATTCTGTCCTTACGCACAGATATCAGGCAAAAACATCGTTAAATTGCATTCGATAGCGATCAAAATGGATATTTTCGTTGAAATATGTTGCCTGAAACTTTTCGCGATTACAATACTTCCTTTTTACTTCGTACAAGGAAGTAAAAAGGTAAATTGAGAGTAGAAAACCAAATTTTTTACTATTTATTTTTATTCTTTTGAAACATATAATTATATGTATATAATTATATACATATAATTATTTAAACCTACAGCGTTTCTCTCCCTTTTTAAATACAGCATCGGCTTCATTTGCTCAAATATTTTCAGATCGTAGATATTTTAAATATATTTCTCCTTAATATACCTTTCTTCAACTAAATTTATTTTACTTCACATTTCGGGAGCGGTCATATCGACTCCTCCTTATACGCCTTGTCGGAAGGGGATGTAATAAAATTGGTGATTTCGGAGAAACAGGAAAAAAGACCTGCGCAAAAGAGTCTCACGATAATAGGAAATCACTACACACCCACCCACACAAAGAGAGAGAGAGAGAATTGAAAGAAATTAAAATATGCGTTTATATGTTTGGAATAACTATAATATAATGTTGAGTGAAAAACGAAAAGGGGCTGAGAACTGGTCAGCCCTTTAGGTAAAGCATACGAGAATCATCTGTCTAAGTTGCATCTCATTTTTCACAGAAATCGCTCCAAATTGTGGAATGCGAAAGTATCTTATATGCCGAAATCTTCTCCAGAAGACCTTTATCTCGACATATGCACCGTGCCTCATGTCAAGACAAAGAGAATTAAGTGAGAAAGATATCTGAATAGTGTTATTAATTGCTGCGATTTCATGACTGTATAACGACTTAAAGGAAAATTTATCTTTAATAAAATTTTAAAAAATTGCAAATTTTGGATAAATTTAAAAATTAGAAACTAGGCGAAATAAAATAGATGCTACAGAGTTTTCTCAAAGCAGGTTAAAAATAAATTCCACACAAAAAATTTTTCAAAAATATTATTTTTTTTCTTTTTCTGTCCTTCTATTATAACACATCCTTAACAGAACATCACATACATGCAAGCATTATTGAAAAAGACGCAGGATAGGATAGCTTGAACTAATAAGAATTCAAGGCAAATGTCCTTTCAGATATTCAGAAAAATTATTGATATTTATTCATATTGTTACGAATTTTGTACTTAGATAGGTAATTTTAGTAGAATTATAAGTAAAATTGTTGTATTTTTCTGTGTAATGTAGCGCGAGACAAATTTTAAGAGAAAGCTATGCAGGAAAAGTAGGAATACAGGGGCATTTAACATTGAGTATCTCGGTACTGGGGTGAGATATTGCCAAGCTGACAACGGTTTAGGCGACTTATTTTATCGCCGAATTTGGCAAAAAATCGCCAAATGTCGCCATGTTTGGCGAACATTTGGCGACATTTGGGTCTAGTCCCTGTATTACCTTGATTCCCCTCGGGTGTTGACCCAGGAGAACTCCTGGGAAGTACTGGCTAGGATTTGTACTTAGACAGTCTTAAACACGAGGGCATAAAATCAGTCTTCACAGAAGGCCTAAGGGTACTCTGGACGTTGTAAGGCCAACACCTCCTAGAACTGGTGTTGGTAAGGCTCGACAGGGACCGTTCTGGTGCTGCCTTGTCTGCCCCTGCTCTGTGGAGTCGAAACATTGTAGATTGAATTTATGCAGGACGGCACTTAATTCCGATTGGCAATAACCTGAGGCCGGAAGTTGTCCTGTCACCAGAGTTGTATCACCTTAATATGTATTGAAATTGAATAAATGTAATTGACTGCTATGTTAGCTGTAACCGTAATTCCACACTCTTATTTCTTTTCTAGTAATTTTGAGGAGCAGAAAATAACCCAACGGCCGGTTGAAAACTACGAGGGGTGATCCAAAAAAAAGTTTACAAGGCAAATGAAAAAGTATTTATTAACAATAGAAACAAGATACAAATGGGAATCAAGAGACACATCTGGCCTTCACTTTTCCACATAGTCGCCAAACCTGTTTAGGCATTTGTCAGAACGTTCGACCAACTTGTTTATCCCGTCTTGGTAGTAATCAGGGCCCTGCTCATTGAGCCATTTCTCGGCAGCTGTTTTCACTGCATCGTCTGAGGTGAACCGTGTTCCGGATAAGTATCGCTTCAACGCCGGAAAAATGAAATAGTCACTTGGAGCCAAATCGGGGCTGTATGGGGGGTGATTCCAGACCTCCCACTTGAACCTTTGCAGCAATTCCTGAGTCTGGCGAGCTGTATGGGGCCTGGCATTGTCATGCAGAAGAATGACGCCTTTGCTCAGTAATCCAGGCCGTTTGCGTCGGATGGCTTTACGCAATTTCGTTAAGGTGGCACAATAACGATCGGCCTTAATGGTATGGCCACGCTCCAAATACTCGATTAGGATAACACCAGTCGTATCCCAGAAAACGGTTGCCATCACTTTACCGGCAGAGGGTGTGACCTTAAACTTCTTCCTCGTCGGTGATCCAGCGTGTTTCCACTCCATCGTGGCTCTTTTGGATGTGGGGGTGAAGTGATGAAGCCATGTTTCATCACCGGTAACGATGCGATCAATGAAGTGTTGGCCGTCTGAATGGTATCGCTGAAGAAATGTGAGGCTGCACATCATTCGAGTGGCCTTATGCTCCGCGAACAACGCACGTGGAACCCAGCGGGCACAAACTTTGGAATATCGCAACTCATCGGTTACGATACGCTGAACGTTACCATAACTCAGGTCCAACTCTGAGGCAATCTCACGCACGGTTACTCGTCGATCCCTTTGGATGATTTCTTCAACACGTGCCGTGTTGATATCCGTCCTTGAAGAACTTGGACGGCCGCTCGCTTCCATATTGCGGTTTTCCACATGCTCCCTGCCCGCTTGATAAGAACGACACCATTTCGCTACCTGTTGTCTACTCATTGCTTTGTCCCCGTATACCTCAACGATTTGTCTGTGAATTTCGGATGCGGCCACATTCTTGGCCCATAAGAATCGAATTACGGCTCGCACCTCTATGCGAGACCACTTTTCTAGACGTCGTGCCATTACTGTCGCTCTTAAGTGTCTGCGTACTGACGCTACTTACTCGTAGAACCGCTGTAGGACAACTAGCGCCGTCTGTCAACCACCCTGGGTGGAAATATTCGCTCCACAATTATTACGTTTCAAATGCTTCTGCTTGTAAACTTTTTTTTGGATCAACCTACGTATAAAAGGCCAAAGACAGAGTATTTGAGTTCCCAGTTGCTTAGTTATTGTTGTTGCGAGTTGTAGTTCCGCGTGAACTGAGATAAATCTGAGTTAGCTTTCTCTTTAAATGCGCTTTGCATAACTTCGCGTTTAGTACTAGTTTTAAATGTAACTACTGATTATACTGTGTGTGAGACTGTAAACACTTGTTGTAATATTTCTGTGGAGAATTCCAGATTTCTGGAATATTTCTTTTGATAAAAATGCATTTTTATTAACCTATTATCGAACTTGGGCATTCAATATATTAGGAACTCCTACGCACGCAACAACATATTCAAAATAACTACAAAGTGATGAAATAACTGAGAATAGCTAACTTATTACTGATTTGATGCCACAAAGCCGATGAGGTGCTTTGCCAAGAAAGAGCAGTTTTCTGCTTTTACCATAGTGGATCACCGTGCTAAAATTTAAAAAAAAAGTTTTTTTAATTGAAAATTTTCTTGAAATTTTGATTGAAATATTTCGGTTATCCTGACCTTGTTAAAATGCTGTCGTCTTCAAATATACGTGCTATCAAATATACTCATATATACATATAATTTAAAATACATATTATTAGTAATGTAGATTATAAATGCATATAATTGTAATAAATGCGTATTATTTAGTATAAGTATATATAAGTATATGGAATTATTATAACTGCAAATACTAATGCACAACTCTCTTCTTATCTAAAATTTTCTTTTTCAGGAGACTTTTTAAAAGATAACTTAAAGGTATATTTTATCATGCTTCGCAAAAAGACGTACTACATAGCCAATGTCCGTCAAGTGGCTACCTTGTCAAGAGAAAGTATAACCAGTGACAAGCTATCAACTCGTGATCACAAAGAAAACAAAAATGAAAATGGCTGCAAAATAAATTACAAACCTTTTCTGGGCTTCTTTTATATTTTAATGAGCAGCATTTTCATTACATTGTCGTCCGTCTGTGTTAAAAAAGTCTACTATATAAGTCCAGGAGAGTTATCACTCATTAGAAAAATTGGAGTCTTATTTGGCAACATACCTATTGCTGTATACTACAAAAAGAATGTTTTAGGACCGAAAGGACTTCGCTTATCTTTAACAATTCGAGCAATTTTGGGTGCGACAGCTCTCTATCTGAACCTGATGTCCTCCAGGTATCTTCCACTGGCTGAAGCAGCCATTATACTGTCAACTATGCCAGCTGTAGTGGGAATAACTGCCAGGTTATATCTAAAGGAACCGTGTGGAATAATCCAGACATTTGCTATAGTTTTAACAGTTTGTGGAGTGATTCTCTCCATTCAATTACCTGATCTCATGAAGAAAAGAGATGGTGTGCTATTCGATACAAATTACATAATAGGTTTGGCCTCTGGCGTTGGCGGTGTTATCTGCTTGGCCGCAACCTTTGTACTAGTTCGAAGACTAAGGGAAATTCACTTTTCAGTAGATCTTATTTTCTTTAGTTTCGTGGGGATCTTCGAAATTGCAATAATAACAGGTGCTTTATCATTCTATTCTTTACCCCGCTGTGGTCACGATCCTCTGCTAATTATGATGATTGCGATCTTTGGTTTCCTAGGACAATGTGGACTCATATTAGCAATACAGACTGAAATTGTAAGTATTATAAGCGTAATGAAATCGGCTTTGGATATTGTCATCGGTATTGCATGCGATGTAATATTTTTCAACACCATTCCAAGTCTTTACACTGTGGGAGGTGGACTAATTGTTATTGCTTGCATAATACTTATTAGTACTAGGAAATGGATCCAAGAAATGCCAGAAGATGCAAGACTAAGGAAAAAACTGAAATATTTATTGCTATGACGAATATTATTTATTATTACTGATAGTTACTTAAATGATTATTTCAAAAATATTCATCAAACGTTGCTGTCATAACTATGAGAAAAAGACTATTTATGCGGTGCATTCTGGTTATCTGTAATGGCCAAAACTCTCATTTTGACTTCAGGGAATTATTCAATATTAAAAAATGAAAATCAAAACGATGTGTTTATTTATTTATTGTGGCACTTAAGTTTGACAATACCTTTGGCACCATCAAAATTATAAATCTGCAAAATAATTGTTTCAAAAAAGCATATTATTGAGAAACATTAATTTATTTTATAAAATTGAATTATGAATTTTATTATGGTAAATCCTCATCATATCCAAGATGCTATCCCTCTTTTAGTGAAGTATATTCTGCAATTTAATAATCCTAATCCAGAGCTTAAATTCCGCCGAAGCCCGGCTCCTGTACTTCTTAGTTTTTGCGATACATTCTAATTTTAGCCAAAGAGCACCGGAGCCTTAAATAAGAGAGCTCTGGTACTTTTTTTATGTAACTGAACAAGAAATTTAGCAGAAATTTGATCTCGAAAATTGTATTTTTAAAAACTATATTAAAAACGATTCTAACTTCTCAATACATATCTGCCTTTCCTTGGGAAACAAACCCCTATACGAAGGTCGAGACTTTTAAGGAAAGAAAAGTCTCCACTAGTTTATTCTCCAAAAAGTACAATGAATTTATTTATTACACGGGTTAAATTTATCGTTTCAACGCTAGTGTCTTTCCAGAGAAAAAAGCACCTGCAGACTTTTTAAAACCAAAGAATGGGGATGAAAAGAGTCACTTGTTTTTTTGTTCCTCTCTCAGCTAACCCTCGGATTCGGATAAAATTTGTTCCTATGTCACATTCTGTTTGACAGCTAGAATTTGATTGACAGGAGATCATAGTCAGAAAATGTTAGACTCTTCTCTTTTTGTTTTTATACCAACACATAATAGATTAAAATACTCTCTATGTTCTGTTACTGTTTATGGCATTCTCTCTAATCTCAACAGCGATGCTTTAATCATTTTGACGTTTCTCATTGGTGTGCTGGAAAAAGAATGGTTTCTAATTTCTATTATCCCTTGAAGTATTATATTATATTGAGAGATTAAATTCAACCGGAGACCGGTTGAGCTTGGTTTTTGTGTGAAATTTAAATTCCAGCCTGAAAGCCAAATAAGTCAAGGTCCAGTACTTAATTTTATTATTTAACTATTTACCATTTATTAATAACTTGTTAAATTTTTAATTATTTCTTTATATTTTCATTATATATTTATCCTAATCATTGATTATTTAATTACTTTAATCACGAGTTATTAATTATTTTATAGTCATTTTATTCAGTTATTTATTCTTGTTCCTGTTTCCTGACGGTCTTCCGCAGGGTTTTTTAATTTTAGAAATAAAGCCCTGACCTAATCTAAAATTCTGCAAAAGATGGCTTCGAGAAAAGAAAATTTAAATAAGAAACGTTGAAAATATTTTTATAAAAAAATTTCATTTTGACTTTTTCTTAGATTTTCATCATTTTAACGATATATTCCTTTATTTAAAAGTCTCAAATATTGAAAAATAAAAAGAAAGTCGCAAAAATGTGAATACTGATGAAGAAAGCAAACCACCGTGCGCTGAAAAGTATGCGTTTCATACTGTGTATTAAAAAAATGTATAACGTACTGTGTACTGAAAAGTTTGTATCCTACTATGTATTGAAAAGTGGGTATCAAAGCTCATAATGAAAAATCTGTTTTTAATATTTCGTCTTATTGTAAATGGGTGTAAGTGACGTGTAAATTTGTAGCAGCTTTTGAACCACAGATTAAAATGGACCAAATTTTTATCTGGAAAGGGAAAAAAAATTACAAATCGAGAACTTAAAATTGCAACCTACCACCTCAAAGAGTTTACAATATGTTTCAAAATGTTTAAAAAGAATTTTTTAATTAAAATGTATAAAAATCATAAGTTTAAAAAGGAAGTTACAATTTTTTCTCGATACGCGAATTTCAGCTTAACATCTGATGAGTTTCAAGCTAAGCACTTATAGTGGGGTTACCAGTTCAAGAACTAGTCTCCTAGTAAAAAAATATTCTCACATTGCTGTAGATTTTAAATAAAATATTATCCCTTCCAAGGCCATTTTCTAAGGCCTTTCCAAAATAAAAAATACTGTCATTACAGGGAAATACGTGTTGCAAGTTTATGTGAACACACTACAGCCGTCTTAAATTATGTATTTTCTTAATTACATATTTTTTCAGCAAGTGTCAAGGGTTTAATTTACGACGAAATAATACAGCAGTTTATTCTTTTCTTAGACTGTGGCATTGCCATTCTAAGCAACTTATTTTAAATATAAAATATTACATTTCATATCTTTAAAATTTGGGAGGCTAATTTTTGAGCTAATAAGCTTACTGTGATTGTTTCATTCAAAACTGTTGAAAGCATTAAACGTATATTTACGTATCAAGAGTAAATTACAGTTTCTTTTAAATTTTATATTTATTATTTTTTAACCCGCGGGAAAGCGCGTCGGGTGTATCATACCCCAACCCTACATACAATTGGAATATTCCTAACTTGTGAAACTGAAATTCTGTGCTGCTTTCAGTAGCTGAGTTTCTAGTTGTGGCTGACTTTCAGAACCACTTTTTCTTTGCCTGTGTGTTTCAGAAAAAGATTTATCGGTATTTTGTTGGAACTGGGGTATGACACAACCCACGCGCCTGTCCGCGTAAGTGTTTTTCTGACTGAATATTTAGTTCAGAAATTTATTTCTACAGTGTAACAGTAAATATTTCTACTCGCAGATAATCAAAGTACTTGACATTAAAGTCTTAAAAATTTCTAACTGCATTATGGCAAAAAGAATGACTCCCTATGAACTGGAGTAGAGATGCAACACCTGTGAGATTTATTAGAAATATTTATTAGAAATATTAGAAATATTTGAAAGCGATGAAGATTGCATTTCGGAAACTGAAGATGAAACTAGGAATATTTTCTACACTGTTTTGGTTTCGAAAAAGATAAAACATTAATTCCTGATGTTCCTAAAAAAGGAAAAACTGTTCTTATGCTTTCAACATTATATAACGATCATACTATAGATGATACTATGGGAGAAAATAAAACGTCAGGAAATATATGTTTTTATAATATGACTAAAGAAGCAGTGGACATGGGGGATGAAATGTCAGAGTAACAAGGAGGTGGCCAATGACAATTTTCTTTCCTGCACTGAATGTTGCTGTAATAAATGCTTGAATAATATTACATTCAACTGCTGATCCACCAACCAGAAAAAGAGGTCTGTTTTTGAAGGACTTAGTTTTTTTTTTTTTTTTTTTTTTTTTTTTTTTTTTTTTTTTTCTTTTTTTTTTTTTTTTTTTTTTTTTTTACAGTTAATGAAAAAATATTGAACAAAGATCAGAGATTAATACTTTACCAAGAAACTGACGTACTGCATGCAAAACAAAAGCAGAAGTTTCGACGAAGAATTAAAACGAATACATGAAATTCGAAACAACTAAGTATGAAAGATGTGATAAATTTTTTGCCCTCGCGCCAAGGACAGAAGAACGTGAATGCAATGTTTAAAATGTGAAAACATTCTGTGCCAAGAACACATGAATGTATTTCGTTCAAAGTGTGAAGAAATAAAATAAGCATTGTGTATTAGAGATGCAATGAAACTTAGAGGCATGATTTTTATTTTTTTATTATTTTCATTTAACTCTAAGATTATTTTGGAAATTAATTTTTTGAAACCCAATTATTATTCACGTATTTATAATACACGAGAACAAGAAAAACAGCTTTAAAACTAAATAAAACTATTTTTATCGTATTTTAAATATTGGGGTATGTGATACCCCACGCGCCTACTCTAGTAACTTTTCTTGGTGCGAATTCCGCCGGGTTAAATGCTTTTGAGCTTCTTGAAACTTTAATTATTACATTTAGGAGATTTTAGAATATAATCTGAAGTTTCCAGATTGCTTCATTTTTGAACGAACGAATTATTTTATTTTTATCCACCGTTTTGTTTAAGCCGAATTTTGGCTAAGTGAAGTCGAGATAGTCGGAATTTTGCTAAACAGCTATTTAAAATTATTTGCAATTACATAAAGAATATAATAGCTATTACTTCGCCTGAAAAACAATTTAAGTGAATAATCACAGGCTAAGTGAGAAAATAATAAGCAAACATAATTTTGGATATTTAATTTAAAAATTTCAATACTCGATATGGAGCAAAATTTAATTATTATTCCATGCCAACCATTATAATTCTATATCTTAAAGTGAAATATCATCACGAAGCAGTGTATGGAGAAATTATATTAAATTCCTGCTTGAAACTTGAAAAATAGTTTAGTTGGAACGTATTTTTGTTTATTCTCATGGACTGATTTTTAATTTCACTGTTATGAACTTTGGGTAAAGAATTTATCATTGTCTGTGCATCTGTTCTAATAGTATCGTAAATTCTAATAGTAATGTGTACTCTAATAATAATGAAAAGCTTTTATGATCAAGGCAAGAATAAGTTGAGTGTTATTGCGTGAATCTTACTGTTTAAGAAAAGGAAACATGTTTTATCACAAAATGTGATACTTTGCAGTTTTTAATTTTAAGAACAATATAATGAACATTGTTTTAGTAATTATTGGTTTCACGAAGTGTCTGAGTGTCCTCTTTTTCGACTTTACTGATATTTTACGGTGTTGCAAGTTATTATTTAAATAAAACCAATTGTTTACTAGTAACCGTATTTTGAGATCTCTTTTTTATTAAAGCAAGAAGATAGTAAAGTAGCAAAATATCTTCACTTTCAAATGATCTTATGTATATATATCCAACACATAAAACATTTTTGTATAAAAATATAATCATTCTAAGCATTTTCCCATATTGTACCACTGAAAATTGATTAGTAAATACACAAAGAAAGAAATTTAGAACTAATTTGTAACAAGACCAAAACTGAAATTCATAAACAATAAATTTCAAAAATTCCTTTAAATGTTGAATAAGAATTCTCTAAATATCAAAAGAAAAAATAAAATAAACTATCACAAGAAAAAACAAAAAGTAAAATAAAAAGAAGAGGAATTAAATTAACTCCGATATAACGTCGTCAGGAGCAGGATGCGCCGGACTCAATTACAATTCCTCTTTCATAAGAAAAACCTTGCTTTTCTGTATCCAGAATTAGCTGATGAACCATTCCAAGTTTCTTAATCTTAACAATTCACCCGAAAACTCAGGTCCTCGTCAAAGCAAGGAAAAATAAAGCAAAAGTACAAACTAAAATTGTAGAGACATTAGGATTTTTTTGGAGGCGGAGTAATGAAAAATTAGCAACCGCCTTCGCCGGGAGTCGAACCGCAGACATCTGGAATACCGGCCCAGCGTGAAAAACCACTACACCACGAAGGCACGCTACGAAAGAGGAGAAATACCTTATAAAATCATAAATTAAGATTTTCTCTGAATTTAAAACGAACCTTTCCAAAAATCTTTTAACACTTTTAGCAATCTATTTAACATTTTTAACTATCTTTTAATATTAATATTTTTCTTTTAACATCTTTTAACATTTTTTTAACATTATTAGAATTCTTATTTTACATTTAAAGAAGTTTTTGAAAAAAAAAATTAGTTCTAAATTTCTTATATATCTATACTAGTAAGTACCTCGATTGTTTATTGAATTTAATAAGCGAACATGTGAAACTCACTACGGTATAAATTCCATGGGAAAGAAAATGGAAGAATTAAAAACTAGAGAATAATTCCTACTAAAGTTGTATTTATTTTCCTTTGAAGATTTGGCAATAATTTTAAACGAAATTAGGTAATATATTAATAATATTAAATAAAGGTTAAAAGAAATTGCATCAATTGTTTTGTTGTTTTTCTACACCATAACTCAATGCAACAATGAACAGTAAAGTTCACAAAATTATTAATTCATGAAATTAATAAAAAATTCACATTAAAGCAAACTATATTTTGACTAAAAGCTTTGTCAAGCATTAATAATAATGTCTAAATGTGTTAATAAATTTCGCCAAATTTAATATTAATGAACACAGTTCTACATGATGCAATAAAGAAAGGGAAAATTTTGGCCGCTCTTTCAAAATGCCTTATATCGAAGCCTTATGTCGTCGAATAAGGAGTTATACTGTCACCATGAAAAAGTTAAAAAATTGCAAAATACTCTTCAGGTCCTAGGCGTGCAGCCAAACGTATACATAAAAAGAAATAACTGACGAATAATTATGCATTAACCAGTGTGATATTACATTACATATGGGATATGGATAAGATTAAAAAGAAATTATATTGCTGAGATTACTTGGGGTATATCTACTGTTCGGTTTTTTTATTTTCTAAGCCCTTTTTATACAGAAAAAGGTTGGCGAAAAGAAAAGAAATCAATTTCGTTTTGTCCCGAATGAGAGATTTCATCAAAATTGCACACATAACAAGGAGCCTCAACAAAAATTTAATTCAATAGCACCTAGCAATTTCGTGTTTCAAGCAAGGATTTTGTGAAAGCAATTGCAAGAAGTTCAAACCGCAAAAAATAATTATTAGCGATTGCCAACCAACTGATAAAATTTACGCCCATCCTGTAGTTGTTCTAGTAAACATGTCTCAAATCATCTCGATGAAATCGCTATTAATTTTTGTGCTGTGTGTAATAAAGGAGAGAAGAAATTGCTCTACTCCATTTTCTCTGTGTCAAACACGTAACAGATAAATTTCTAAACGCTTTCGAGCATGTAGCAATAAATCTCAGGCTTTACGTGGTAAGACTCAACTGGAATATACCTAATCTAGTTCCGTGCAGTAACAGAATAAACTGCTTTGCACTGCGCAGTTACGCAGGGACTGAAATTCACAATGCAATAAATAATGATCTGTAAACATACCAGAGAATCTTCTTGCTAAGAAACTGAGAGTACAAAACTACTACTAAAAGTGCTTTAGAAATATTATCAAGTCTATAATTTTTAGACTTATCTGTAAATGCGAAGTAATCATTATACAGATAACCAGATTCCAGCATACTACTTCGTTGCACCATCACATCTACATGTAAACAGCGATTATGAACACTCTGACGTTGCATTATGATGTAATTTTGAACGGTTTCGATAATAACTGCAGTTTGAACAGCAAGGCTCTTATGTGGACTCTTCCAGTCATTTTTACGTATAGCCCCAAAAGCGACAAAACAATTCTCTTTGCGCTTATGCAAAACATGCAACAGTGCACAACCAGAAAGAGAATTTTCAAAATCTTGCTGATGCGCTGCACGATGTTCTCTGTCTCTTTTCTAGCTCCTGTGTAGTTCTAAACCTGACAAATGGTTGGTAAAAAAGTAGAGTAGCTGACAAATTAACCAGTTAACTGTGGCGCTCTCGTTTAAGAGTGCGCACCGTTTTGTGTTGCCAGAATCGAGCCATGACGAGTATATTCATCAATTACAGAGTAAGTTGCGCTGGTAAGATATTGGATGAAAAAGATGGGTTTATTTTATAAAAGTGAAAATTTTATTACTAATATTTACTTATTGGGTTAACATAAGCATATATTACATACATATTAAGCTGACACGCAATCAATTCAATTAAATGTTATACATATAAAAGTAAGAATTTAAATTCTTGCTGTGGAGGGATATTCAGCGAAACAAGGTACTATACACACAATGGGACTTTGCAAATGGAACACCAGTAACGCGATTTCTTACGTTTGTAGCAATGCAAACACCTTCGCGTAGGGTTTTTTTTTTTTTTTTTTTTCAATGTTCCGGGTATATAATTTGGAACATGGTTCCCACCTAATTGGCTTATATTATGCCAAATGGCCGAGTTTGTGTCGATTTATTTCTTTCAATTGGATACGTCGCAAAAGTGTCTTCAATAAATTTGAACAAAAAGTTCACACGCGACCATGTTCCATTATTTTTTTATATAATATGAATGCATTCAGACGCATAATGTCTAAGAAATGGAGAAATATCTTTTTGTAGTACTTTTGAGTCGTTTCCTTGCTTGAAATAAAGCCATGTACGAGTACGCTATGGTAATTCCATTGCTCATATCCACTCCACCCATTTTTTTATTATAATCAATCACTAGCTCCGGTTCCTTTGTTATTATTTTTCTTTTCTCGGTTTCTATTACGTTGTCATTATGTACAGTTCTTAAATAAACCTCGCTCTTATCTTTCCATTTCATTAACGTAATATACGCATGACGCGTATACTCGTCAATACACAAAATCGTGTCGCTTTTCCATAACGAGTATACTAGTCAATCACAGTTAACTGGTTAAGAAATATAGTAAAAGAAGAAAAAATTCAGAATAAGTTTTGTACTAGATTGCATTGTTCGTCAAGAAGCACTTTCTGCCAAACATTTGCTGATGAGTAATGTTATGAAACACTAACTAAAGCAATAAACTGATACAGTTTGGACTTAGAGAATAGTAATTCTTCATCAAGTGTTGTCTTCAATTACCCCAAATCCACGAACCCGTAGAACGCCACAATCCTTTATTTTGAACTTTTGTTCTTGCATTAGCATTATGTATATAGCAAATTAAAATAGTAAATTCAAGATTAACATATATAAAAAAGATTGATTACTGTTAGCATGTTATGATTTTAAGGACAAAAGGAGGAAACTGCTAAATTAAAAGAAAAGAAAACTGCAAAGCAAAAGATATAAAATTCTACATGAATCCTAATTAACAGCAATTAATGAATGGATAAATTGTAACAATAGCAATATTTTTTACCTTTTATTCTCAGGCTAAATTAAATCAAACCGTGCTTTAGCGATTACTAAAGTCAGTTTGTTCAGCTGTTGAACGGCTGTGTCAGCACATCCCGAAAATAAATCACAAGTTTGAAATTACGTGGCGAAAATGATTTTCTTTCAATATCTGAAATAGCGTCCATAAAGAGTAGTCGCGAAATCATAAAAAGTTTTTTAAGTCAAAACGAGACTTCCATGGATACATGAATACTAAAATATTTCTGACTTGAAATATAGGTAAGTGTCATTCTATTCATTTTATCGCAATCTACTTAATTTTTCATTATTTGAGCTTTTGAATTTTAAATAAATACGAGTAATCATCAGATATAGTTACAACAAGCAAAACATGAATCTGAAATTAAATAATTGTTAAATGTTTATATTGCTATTCTGTTATAAAATAAGTTTTGGAAAATTAAATTTGCATGCATTTTATATTCTGTAAACTAATATAAATATTCTAAAAAAATATATAAAATGCTTATCAGGATTGTTAATGATTTATTATTCCTCACCAAGACTCAGTCGCATTATTAAAAGCCTCTCAAAGTTAGAGCATTTCATCAAAAGAGCTTCAGCACTGGAGTAGTATTATTCTGTAACAAAATTAATATTTTATATATCCTCGTTGAGCAAAATGTGCTGTCGATAAAAGGTTCATTATGATTTAATAGTTGAATCTAAAAATGAATTTGGAAGTCGGACGTCATAAGACAATTTTCTTTTAGTCAAAGGAAATATACTCTGAAATAATAACCAAGTTTTTATTTTCTGCCCCCCCCCTCGAGATATTAATTACATTTATTTAAAATTACCTTTTAAATATTATGAACAGATAGAACAACAGCACAAAAATCAAATGGAAAATTTCGCACGTAAACAAAATTTAGAATATATTTGAATATATTTTTCAATAAAATAAGCATGCCCTTAAAATATAATGCAATTTAATGAAACCACTATGAATGCTCATGCGAAATGACAGGTTAATCAATAGTGAGTAAGTCAATTTCAATAACGTGTTATCAGATAACTAGAACATGTTGTACGCCTATGCACTGTTTATATTGCATTCTACATCAGTAATAAGAATAGATGAAGATATCTCTGCATCAGAAAGTGTATAGTCATTAAACTGTAGTAATAATTTTAAACAATATAGTAGGTATCCGCTTATGGACCGCATGCATCCCTGATTTCTCCCATCAGGTAAACTAAGTTAAAGAAAAATTCCTTACATGCAATATGCATTTAATTATTTCAGAGAAGTAGCCACAAAGTTAACAAATAAGTACTGATTTGTATAATACGGAATCAGGGCCTACCCTTTAGGCCCGCTAAGATTGGGCCTGAAAATTTCAGTTCTAAGAGATACCTAAATTATCTCATAATTTCTCATAATGTTATTTTAGTCTCATAAAATGAAAGGAAGAGGGTGCTAGACAGCCTAGGCAAAAAATGTGCTTATAACCCAGGCTGTTTCAATCAAGCCGTTTATCAAACCATTAACTGCCCCCCCAAAAAAGAATTATTATTTTATATCTGCCGCTTAAATAGAATGAAAATCTTACCGAAATTAATTAGTAGCAGAAACTAGAAAGTAAGTCAATAGATTTCTTCTTGTTTGTTTCCTTGTGCATATTCACACTGTTTCATAGTCACATTATTTAATCATAATAAACATTTTACTGATTAACGTTTTGCTACATGATTTTCGTATAAAAAATTAGATGAGTTTATGCAGAAAATGTTTGCATATATTTTAGACGATTTTTCCCCTATAAAAAAGTCGTATATTTGAAAATTTTTGTTTTAACTGCAACTATATTTTTTAAAGTATAAATTATCGTCTACTACTTGACATTTTTGTTTTCATGCAAAATAACCCTTTTAAAGAAGCAATGGAAAGAAGTTTGTGCTCTTTCCGAAGAAAATTATTCGTATCTAGTTCTTAAAAAGGCTTGAAAGCCATGGTTTTTTTTAATAGCTAGGCCTACGATAGGTAATATTTTCAACAAGAGAGGAAAGAAACGTCAAAGTTTGGCTTCAAGTGGAAAACATGTTCCGAATACATATCCAAGGGAAAAAAAAGAATTTTTCAAATTTTCAAAGGTAAGATCTTTAACGTTAAAAAAAATCTTCCAAGTCAAAGGACAGTTGCAAAGTCATTCAAATGCTCAGTGTCAACTGAAAACAAAGTGATTAATGCTGATTCAAATTTTAAAAAGGCGAAACAAAAACATTTATCCCCACAAAAATGAAAAAATGTACCACGGTAGATGAATCTTGGGTATATCTAAATAATCGCAATAAAAAGATTTCATTAACTATCATCAAAGTGGAGAAAAAAATCTTAAAACATGGTTGAAAGAATAGAAAGTTAATTTTCCAGAGGGATTTATCATTGTTGTTTTCTCGTATAAAGGAAAATAAAAATAAAGAGAGTGGAGAAGAATGCTAAGATCAACTCCATATATTATCGGGAACGTATTTTACACCCAAGTTTCAAACATGAAATATCACCTCTTTACCCACAGTGCCATTAATCAATAGAACTGCATCAAAACAAAGCAAGTAGCCACACGTCAAAAATCCACTGTTAATTTCCTGGGAAAAAGAGAACATGAAAGGGGTATCAAAACTTCACTTATATCCCTACTTAATCTCCTGATGGATGTTTTCGCTTTTGGATTTTTAAAAAAAGCGGATTGTCCAAACGTCGACCTACAATCCTCATTGGACTTTGGAAAGCTCTCCAAGAGGAATGGGATAAAATACCTCTTTTGATGCTACAAAAGACTTCATTGCCTTGGAAATTACGATGTACAAAAACAGTGAAGAATAAGATTTATCAAATAGAATACTTAAAGCACAAAACTTTTCCGTAAAATATTTCGTTAAATACAACGAAAAATCGTCTAAAAAATGTACGAACACCCTCTAAAGGAACCATTCCGTCCCTTAAATCTAAACATTTTTCTTAAAATTCTTTCTTTATTTATTTTTTTAAAATATTACCTTTGGAAGCATATATCTAGAATTACTACGCAAGGAAATAAAACTGATAGCCATTTTTTACGATTACCTGCAATAACATAGGATTAAAAATGATGATTTTCATGTTGTACTATTGGTTTTAAAAATGAAACGAAGATGTAGCCTCGATATTTTCTAAAACTCAATCATGTTAATATATATTACTGGCTCATTTATTTCCCAATATGCGCCTACTATCATTAACTATGCATACCATTACCAGCTGCTTAATACGAATTAAAATGTATCGTAATAAAATTGCGAAGAATTATTTTAACATATTACACTGAGAGACAAGTAAGTTTTCCGTGATATTTTCTGGATACTGTAGCCGAACTAACAGTAATGTATCATGTCAAAGTTAATGTAGTATTATAATGTAAAGTTAATGCAATATAATACGTAGTTAATATGTTATACTGTAAGATTAATAATGTATTCTATTGCATGGTTAATGTATTGTAATGTATGATTAATGTATAATACTGCATGTGTTGTTACTGTTGTTGTGAATTATCTCACTTATCTGACGGTAACATCAGAAGAAGCTCACGAAATTCATCATGGTAAGGGGTGCATGATTGCGCAGGCTTTTTGCTCACTCCACCGCATTTTGATGGAGAGCACCCCGAAGGGGAAGGGTCCAAGTGTCTCCAAATCGTCTTCCCTATCACCAACCTCTCGACTCGCCACATATTTATAGTGCCTCCATGCCGCACAGACACTATACATTTACAAACATACATGCCTTCTCCTGGATTCGAACCCGGGCCTTTCGGTACGACAGTCAGCGTCGCTAACCACTATCCCGATTGAGCGACACTGCATGTTTAACACATTTTATTGCAAAAACCGTCAACTGAAAGATGAATGAGAAGCATATTTTTTACGCAAACTTTGCAAAGCAAATTTTATGCATATAGGAAAATGTAATAGTAATGCTATGCATGAAAGTATATTGGCAAATATTTACATATAACCTAGGATATTAGTATTGCACGTTAATTAATTTTACATTAAAATGTAAGAAAAATATAACATATTTTTACATATGCCAAGCTTGCATACTGAGTACTCACATACATCATAATATAGTATACATCATACATCATAATATCAATACTCGCATATATCATAACATATCACATACATCATAATATAATATAATCCATCATAATATAATATAATCATCATAATATACATAATATTATACATCATAATGTGATGTATTATATATGGTATTATGATGTAAATGATGTCATAATATATCACATACATCACATACATCATAATACCATATATAAGTACATCACATATTTATTAACTAATAAGCACTGTGTCTATTAATAATCACCCAATAAGTGAATAATTTATGAGCAAAGTGAAGTCAATAATTTATGCAATTCATTTACAGTAAAGTAAATAATTTATGAGAATTTATCACATGAATCGGTTGCTATTAATAATTTCCAACAGCGATCGGTAAATGCAACAATTTTCAATGCGTTTAGTTGGATATTTGCCATTCCGCATAGGTATGTTTCCCGCGTCAGAGTCTCTACTGTTGTACAAAGATTTGATAGCTGTTACGAGCTCACGAGTTTGTTTTCATCTGTTGGCAACAACTACAGACGATCCAGTTGATGAAATGGTAGTATTGAACAAAGAGGCTAGGATAGATGGAGTAAGCCTGACGTCCCAAAAGTGAAGCCAAGGAAATGATAACATTATCATGGTTACGTAACGTTCAAACGTTATCATGACAACGTAACGTTATTGTGTCTACAGCTCACGAGTAAGACTAGGAAACGTACTGTTAAATAAAATTTCACTGAATTTGAAAGCAATTATTAACGTCCGCTGGCTCAGAAAAGTGTCTTTAGGCATAATTTGCTTAAAATACCATTGAAAGTTCCTCTGATGTTCCATGTCTTACCATGTATATATTTGTGTTAAAGTTACCATTTACATATTTTCATGTACCTAGATTTATTAAATATGAAATAGTTATAGTTGCAGTCCTTGTGGCTTTTCTATATACTAAATAGAGAAGCCTTTATATTAAGTATTAAAATTTTAACGGGATAATTATAAGCGTTCACTTATGAAGAGCTAACATGTAGACAACGGCAAGAATGTAAACAAAACCAACCAGAAGTCCACTTGTGGCAGCGGCCATGATAAGTCCTGATATCACACCGTGACGTTTCATAGCTTCATTTTCATTGTTGGGGATATACGCGGGAGGATTATTTCATTTCTTACCTCTTTGGCAGGGTCGGATTTTCTTACAAGCTACACAAGCTGTAGCTTAGGGCTCCCACTTTCTCGGGGGCTCCCCAAAAAATTACAATATAGTATAAATAGCATTAAAATATATTATAACAGACTTATAAAAGGCCCCATATCTCAAATTGCTTAGGGTCTTAGCAAGCCTAAATCTGGCTCTGCTCCTTGGTGTTGAAAAACTCATCGTTCCAATTAAGAACGAAAAAAGCTTAATTATTTATTATACTTTTATGAAGTAGCATTTTCAAATAATTCATGAAACTCATATTGTAATCGTCTGCTAAGGGCTGTACAAAATGATGAGGCTAAGACAAAGTTTAAGAACGTACAATCCAAAATTTTGATGATATATTAACTCTATGAATCTTTTCAAAAGAAACAAAGCTTTCTAAGAAAAGGTCTTATCCTTAAACTAATTAAAAGCAGTGAATTAAATTCGAGTTGTCAAGGTAACTTCATTGAAATAAGGGTTAAAAAGAAGGGCTATTTCATTCCTTTGTACGACTCCGGTTAACAGTAGTCTGACGTCACTATGTTTCACCTGCTCTGACTTCACCTGTTTAAAACTAACGCAAAAAGGAGATGCGAAGATTTCAAATGCCCTCCTTCCTACTCCCTAACAAAAAAGCAGCTTCCAATAGCCTTTTAGGACAAGCTATCTGCAATAAACTGATACAATGCATTTGAGAAAATTGCACCTGACGCCCGAGACGTCTATGCTGCACTATAGACGTCTCGGGCGTTTTCGCCTTGAAGAGGTTAAGAATTTGAAAAGCACAGTCACATCCCATCTAAAAGAACTATCAGCTGATTTGTACGATTATGGGATCTTCAGATCATGAGAGAATACCTCAATATTTACTTAATATACCGAAAACTACTGAAAGCTAAATGTTATAAACCATGCTTAAGATGCATTCAGATATATTTATTTACTTATTTATTTTACAGTGAAAGTGGAAATGATGGGAGCGTTTTATGAAAGAAGCAATCAAGAACAAAGTCACGCGGATGATGAATCAAAGAGGCAGTTTCTTCGAATAAAAGAGAGGCAAGAAGGTGTTCTAAATTAACTAAAAAAGAACTTTAAAATTGAAATATAACAATGCAAATAGTGAGAGAAAATGATAAAACAGAGGCGTAATTTGACTCAATTATTAACATCTGTCAGTGCATTTCTCACGAAAAATATTAGCGAAGTTTTCAAACTGAAACTCCATTAAACATATGTACGACTGGTTGGATGCATGAACTGTCTTACTAAGTAAACGTTACATTTCAGATATTTACAAAAGCTATCAAGTATTAAAAATACATATTTATTTATAGGTAGTAACAAATGCAAAGGTGTAGATCATGGGTTCTCTACCTTTTTATCTCCCTCATGCACCCCTTTCACCATTGTTATATGATCATTTCGCCCAGTTTACAAAACTTGAAAAATGCATATACATTTATTTAGATTATTTTTAACGCATTTTATTAATTAAACAACATAAAGTGCAGAAAATGCTGATAAATACTAAAATAATAAAATTGAATAAAAGTAGTTTTTACTTCCTTGAACGAAGTAAAGGAAGCATTGCAATCGTGAAAAATTTGAGGTATATATACTGCCACTCTGTTATCCGGCTCAGCAAGTCCAGTTTTTTATTCTTATATGCCGGTAAATTGTACATTTTTTGTGCTTTAAAAGTGATTGAATTATGTTTTTCTTATATTCCGATTAAGAATTTCATGCCTTTAATTAATCTGCATGTAATAATTGTAGAACTGTCAACAATTCAAAAGTTTAAGTGCTGCTAAGTTTAACGAGCCCCCCATTGGTTTACATTTGAAACTCTTGGTAGATAGTGAATTAAGTCAGTTTGTGTACCAACTTCAGTGTCTTTTCTTCAGTGTGACCATAAATTTACTTTAAAATTTGTGCACTGAAATATCAGTTTTCCTGCCCGGTGGCTGAATAGCTTGTTTTTGCGTAGAAACTCTAATTTTAACTGTAAAAATTGCTTTTTATAAAACTATTTTGAACTTTATTTGAGATTTTAAGTTTTTCTGTGTTTCACAATTTTTAATGCAGATTGAATTTTTACGTAGTTTTGTCTTGCCGCAAAATGACAACTAAATTGATTTAATTAGAAATATATCTGTAATGGAATTAGAGGAAATAAGTCTAAATGAAGTACAGCAAAAGATATTCATATTTTAACAGGCCGTACAAGGTAATCATATGGCGTCCACGTCAGATATTTTTATATGCATAAAATAAAACTAAATAATGAACGCTAAATAAATGGTTGACCGTATTTTTCCTCCCATGAAACTATGAAATTCTATCAGGTAAATTTTCCCCTGGTTGACAACCCTTCATATAGATAGTAGCAAAGTGAAATGTGTCAGTGAGTGATGAGCAAGGAAAAATGTCCTGAAAATAATAACTCTTCTTGCCTACTTCAAAAACTATAATACGGTAATATTAGTAAACCATACAAGCGCGTTTTTTTAAAATGAAGGTCTTCGTTTAACATCTTAATTCAGATATGTAACACTGCAAAATTTTTCCGTATTAAGTTTACAGGTAAAATGAATTAATACACACACATTAAAAGAAAAAAAAAAAAAAAAAAAAAACGAATAAATATGGTATTTCTAACATTGTATAAAAAATGTTTTAAAATTTTAATGGCAACATTCGTAACATTATAATAAGATTTCATAGCACAAACTACAACATATTTAATTTGAAATAAGCATTTATTTCTCTGTTATTTCTACATTAAAATAATGTGATTGTGGACTACAAAATGCCCACTCTATTTCTAAAATTGTCTTAAAACTGATGTGATTTGGTTCCTGTTACATGGTAATCGGGCATTTTACGAAATTTACGAGTTCCATTCGAGGCATCGGTAGTTACAAACACAGAATTAGATAACTTTTTAGAAAGTTTTTATATTAAAATATAGCCCCTAGTAGCAATAATCAAGAAAGTATCGTAGATTATTAATAAACCATTGAAAGCTTCTAGAAGACAATAATGCAGTAAAGGGTAATAAAATCAAATCCGATTTTACACCAGAATGCTGAATGAAAGAAACACTTCAGACACATATACGTAGAGTAAAAATTCATGGGAAAATAAAAGACAATTAAAGACTTTTCTTTCGTTAATTATTTCTTCTTTTAAAATACTAAATAAAGCATTGGATGGAACCAAAGGTGAACAAGTTTAATTTTCGAAGAGAATAAGGTTTCGTTTCATTTCAACAAAAAGAAGGCTCCCAAACCTTGATTCGGCATGATATTCTTCATATATATGTCCTCTGAGGAAATATGCAAATGATTATAATTTTGAAGGAACCAAAGTACAGCATCAAAAATAGCAGCAGTAAATTACATTTTAGTAAGCGGTAAATCCTGCTCTGGCAGCCATAAAATCTACTAATATTTTATGTGTCATAAAGTCAGTAAGTTGTTTATGACTTATTTTCAGGATTTCGTCGCAAATTTCGTAAATGATTAACTAATTTTCTCTTATTTTCAGAAAGAAGTTTGGGCAATTCTGAGGTTATGGAAGGGTATTAACTCACCCAATAACCTATCTCCAATCAGACACTTAAAGATACTTAAGTTCGAGCCATCGATACAAACAGCTTTGTTAATATTAAGATGTGTTAATCTCATTAATGGACAATGATACCTAATTCCAGCTTTGTCGATCGTCTATGAATGCCATACCTCGATGCTAAAGACTGCATAGAGGGTGTTAAATACCTTTAAATGAAAAAGATTGATACCACTGATGCTGCAGGGTCCATTCTGATTGCACGATCTTTTCCAGCATTTGGGCGTTTTTGACGTTCTGAGCTTTTATACTGATTATATGCGCTTTCTCTGATCCACCACTGCCAATATGGAGCAACCACCATATTTCTCCAGCCTATATGGCGGCTAATATAGTAGTACTTGTTGGATTAATTTTCTCTTAGAATTATGATGCGACTCATTTTTAAATTTGATATTAGTTCTCAGCGCCATCAAATGAATCTCAAAAAGCATCTTTGTAAACAATTTGAATTCATAAACGAGAAAATACAGATAAATTGCCTCTGAATTAGGACATCGAGCCTTTTGACCTTTTGATGGTCATCAACGAGCTTGGCTCACATTCTAATTGCGCACCGCAACAGGTGCAAACGAAAACAGCTCGCATTACAAATTTATCACTGACAGACATTGTGCGCATTTGAGAAAAAAGAATTGCTTAATCCCGCAAACGCCGAAGGATTAAATTCAAAATGAAAATTCCTTTCCATGCATGTTAAATGACCCTGAGACATCATTTGGTCCTGAAATTCTAATCATTTGCTTAACACTTCAAAGGACATTTTCATAAGTTCATGTGTTTTTAAAATAATGCTTAGTATAAAATAATATTTACTCTACACATTATAGCAGCAGTTACAGAAATAAATTAAACTTTCGGTGTACAAGAATAATATTTGAAATGATTTTGTTTCAAATGAATTTGACAACTTTTTAAAAGCTATTTCTTTAATTTCATTGTAAACAATATTCGACACATTAGTTTAATATTTGAATGGTAAAATATACTAAAATTCCTATCGAATAATTGTCAGATAATTAAAATATCATTTAGTGTGATATTTTAATTCTCTTCTACCATCATTTTAGTCTGCTTTAACGAGCAAATATCAAACTTCAAAAACGTTTTAAAACAAAAATGCAGTTTTTTTTAATTTAAAGCATATATTTTTAACTCTTACATAAAAATTTAATCTCCCTTTATGCATGAAAATGGAAATGTAAGAAAATCTATCTCTGATTTTACTGTTTCAAATTTAAACGTTCCTAAAAAAGCTCTTTTCTTGCAGGAAACATATTAGAGAAAAACACAAGAAACTTATTTGAAAGACAAAGTACAGATAGATCTGTTTCAGCATGTTTCGAAAAGCGAAGTATAGTGTAACAAACATTCAGCAAGCGCCCACTTTGTCAACAGAGTCTATTATTAGTAAGTCTTCGTCTACTTATTATCCTAAAGAAAAAGAGGAAGTAGTACCTCCCAGCATAAATTACAAATCTTTCTTGGCCTTGTTTTACGTTTTAATAAGCAGCATTTTCCTTATGCTCGCATCAGTCATAATGAAAAAGATTACTTATGTAAACTCAGCACAAATGTCGATTGTTAGACATGCTGGGCTCCTGGTGTTCAGTTTGCCTGTTGCCATTTATTGCAAGAAGAATATTTTGGGACCCAAAGAATACCGCTTATCTTTGATCATACTATCTTTTCTTACCTCCACTTCACTTTTCCTTTATCTAATGGCATTCAAGTACCTCCCTCTGACTGAGGTGGCCATCATTATATCGACGACCCCGGCAGTGGTAGGAATATCTGCAAGGATGTACCTGAAAGAACCCTGTGGACGTATCCAGATATTTGCTACAATATTAACACTATGCGGAGTGCTTCTGTCCATTGACATGTTTGAGCTCATTAAGAAAAGAGAAGTTACTAAATTCAACGTGAATTTCCTAACTGGACTTTTATGTGTTGTAAGTAGTGTAATCTTCATGTCTGTAAGTTACGTATGGACAAGAAAATTGAAGGACATTCATTTCTCAGTAATTTTAATTTTCTCTGGTTTTATAGGAGTGTTAGAAAATGCAACAATTGCTGCTACGATATCATCCTGTTCTTGGCCCCGTTGTGGGTACGATCCTTTACTAATTACGTTGTTTGGAATTATTTGTTTCTTAGGGCACCTTGCACTCTTACTGGCAGTACAGATCGAACATATAAGTATTGTATCAGTAACGAAGGCGGCTATGGATATCATCGTTGCTATGGTATATCAAATGGTATTTTTTAAATCCTACCCAAATCTTTACAACATAGGAGAAGCACTGCTTGTCATAATTTGCATAGGAATAATTGGCATTAAGAAATGGCTTGAAGAAATTCCAGAAGACACAACAATGAAAAAAAGACTAAAATGGTTACTGCTTTGAAGAATCCTAGTTTATGTATATTACTAAGTTTATAATTTCTTCATTTACACTACGTATAAAATACAAAATTCTAATTTCTCTGAATGATTTTGTGGCACCAGTTATTATACAGAAGTTTTCAATTTGTTTTGATAATTATTATAATTGATCATTTTGATTACACAAAATGCATGTTTGTGTTAATTTAAAGAATATTATTCTTCTAGTTGTTAAAAGTTATTTTGAACTTTGTGTATTTAATGTAGTATCAATTGAAATAAGATTACTGTTCAAAATGTGCCAAACATTTAAAGGCAATTAAAAATAAAAAAAAATTATCAACTGATTTGATTTTCTGTATAACATCTTCAAGTACAGGTCGCGTGTTCGAAAATATTTGCACGAATATTTTTGTAGAAATTACAAAAGTTTAACTTTTGTATATCGAAAGTATAAGCAATATGGAATATTGTATTCAAATTCTGCATGAATGTTTCAAATACCATTCATGTGCAGTCATTCGAACCCGTTTAATGTAATACTAAATGATGAAATACACGGGTGTTTATTTTCATCAAAAGAAATATTTCAGAACTCTGGAATTTTGAGCAGAAATAGTCATACAAGTGTTCACAGTATCATACAGTATAATCAGTAGTTACACCTTCAAACTACTAAGAACGTTAAATACCATGCAATGCAAAGCGCATCTAAAGGGAAAGCTAATCCGATCTCACACTGAACCCGCAACAATAACAACAGCAGCTAAATAAACAACTGAGAGCAGATGATCTCTCTTCGGCCTTAAACAGATTTCAACCGGCCGCCGAGATATTTCTAGTACTTTCTGCTGCTCTAAATTATTGGAAAGGAATACATTTATTCAATTTTAATACATACTATAGTGATTCAAAGACCGGACCAAAATTTCACCAAATGGTCGCCAAAATCGGCGGCTTTTGGCGATTGCTTAACAAATGTGGCGACAAAATAAGTCGCCAAAACCAGCTTGCCGATATCTCACTAAATTACCATAAAAAAAGTCTAATGACTCTACAAGTGGCCCCCGAACTAAAAGGTGGTGGACAATAATTCATTACCACCAGGATTTGGCGACTGGTTCTCTTAATCCCCAGTCGCCCTTTAGAAGGGGGCTATATAAGGCAATTTCTTACGCATACTCGAGGCATATTCGAAAGGTCTAGGGTTAGTGTATCGGAGAGAGCATTGCACATTTTTCATGTCCCCTACTTAAAAAAAAAAAAAAAAAAAAAAAAAAAAAAAAAAAAAAAAAACCACTAATAACTCTACACTGTGAGTTTGTAGGGGTTATTTTTAATTTCTAACAGATATTTTAATTTTTAAACATGCTTTACTGTCTATTCTCGTTTGCACTTACTATTCCCTACCAGAATACGTTTTTAGTATAGCATCGCATGTAAATGAGGTAGAAAGAGTATTTAAAGGTAAGTTTCGCTTACTTCAGAAGAGGTTAGGAGTCCTTAGTGGCGCGTGTTTGCCATCAGGCTCCTTCCTTGTTTAAAGCTAACTACGCTCAGCCGTATTGTATGTGCCTACTAATATTCGAATGTTAATTTAATTAAGGACCAACTAAGTTAGAACAACTAAGTTTGAACAGCTTCGGCTAAGTTAAGTTTAGTTTAGCATTAGATTAGTTTCTTATTTTCGTATCTTGAGTTTAAGCCCAAGTGGAGGCCAAGTTTCCTGTAAGCTCGCGAAAAAGACTCTCTGTGTTCTTAGTTTGAGATAATAAAGGGTGAGCTTAACCAGTACCTCCTACATATAATGCCAAGGCTCAGGGTTGCTTGAACGCTCTGACGTCACGAAAGTCGTCTCTCCACTATCCTCATCCTCATATTTTACATGCTGTTATATATAATTTTATTGTGGTGAAGAAACTAATTTCAGACGAATATGAGCAAAAATTTTTATTTTCGGCTAATCCACGAGATACAGTGTGTAAAATTACTTTAAATTTACTTCATGAAAAAAATTTTTTGGAACTGAATGACTGTGCAAACCTTCATACCCTCAGATTAGTTTTTGAAAAATATAATACAACCATCAACAAATACTTTTCTAAATAATTACTGCAAAAAGTTAAATAATAATCTTTTAAGCAATAATTTAGTTAAGCAATGGAAATTGAAAACATTAAAAAAATAGTTTATGTATGTAGCGAGAATGAATATGTTATGTGTTTAAGGTACAAAATAAGAGAGTGAAACTAACCTATCTTTTCTTAATATTTTCAGCTTGTAATTCATTGTTTTTAAATGAATATTTTTCTGCAAATGTGTATAATATTGTTGAATAAAAAGTGCTTTTTCTATTTGTGTTGTGAAATCTTTGCCACCTATTTCCAAAATGCATGCACGCATACACACAAAAAAGGAAAATATTTGCAATTATCGTAGAAAAGTGCTAAAGCTCTAAAGTCTGTTATATAATTACTAAGCTTTTTTCATCATAACTAAAGAATATTCGTTTTGAAGATAAAATACTTTGTCAATTAATATTAACTTCCGTTTATAATTTTAAAATCAATATCTTGAAATTTCTAATCTTATTTTTAATTGAAACGACGTGTTTTTACATTAATTTTAAACTGTAAGAAGGAAGTATGTAGAATTTGTAGTCAAATACAATTCCAGATGACTAATTTTTTATTGATATTTACTAATATATTATTTTCATTTTATTCTATGTTTAATTCTGTCAAGGAAATAAAATTTCTAGAAATATAGTTGTACGTATACAGGGGAAAAGGCATCTGATAACTCTATAAAAAATAAACTAGAATAAAAAAGTACTTTCATTTCTTTCCAGCTGTTATTTCAGGTAAAAAATAAGTCTTTTTTTAATGCGTTTTGCACCCTAGTTGTGCTACTTTCTTAATAAAGATCTGAAATTATTCTGAAAATTTTAAATCCTACCTTAACACTAAACTCCTTATTCCTTACAATTCTAAAAATTCAGGGCATTTGATCGGTTTAGATGTTTTAAAAGTTTCTGCTGATTATCCTGATAAAAAAATTCTAGTAAGTGCATATCAATTATACAACTTCATATTTATCATTTGCTAAAAAATTCTTAGATAAGTTACAATTAAAAATGATTTTTAGGAACAAAAATTTACTAGTTACAAAAATTATAAAAAATTATATAAATTACAAGAAAATTATAATTAAACAAAAGGGATGTTACGGACATTAATGATAAGAATGAACTTGAGAATTTTGAATTCCAAACAAGTGTAAAGTATGTTGAATTTTTGCAATTTTCCTTTTTTGTTATTGAGAAAGATGCATTACATATTTTTCAAAAATAGGAATCTAATCGAAAAAGCTTAAATGTATGGAATTTTTTGCGCCTATATGGAAAATTAACACTGAATAATACCAATAATGCTCAAAAATAGTATTTTTTCATATTGCTCAAAATAGTATTCAAATCATACTCCAAGTTTATTATATGTTCCAAAATTCAATCCTACAGTGAAGTGAACAAGATCAAACCGGAAAATTACTAAACAAATATGTGTAAATAGCAAATGTTGTTAAAAACTGATATTGCAAAATAAAAACATGATTAATAAATTTAGAATTAGCGATTTTTAGTTTTAAATCAACTCTTAACTTGTCATTATGCATTATTGTTGCCTTTTTTATTAAGGAGAGGATATTTAGTAAAAATATATTCAAAAACAAACCACAACGGCCAGATCTTAAACATGTATTTTTATTACCGCCGTCTGAAATATGTTAAATCAATTTCTGTTCTGTTATTTTAAGTGTAAAATTATTTAAGAAAAGTTAAGATACGTATTTGAAATTAGGAAATGCAGTCGATGAAGGGTAAATCGGATATACATATTTATTTATTTAAAACCAAATGATATAAACCTTCTGCAAGGGGGGACTACGTTTCATTTTCTCCCGTCTTAAGGGAATAACAGCGATATGTGGCTTCATGTGGCAATCATTCTGTCTGTAGATAAGGACGACTTTAGTGACGTAGTGTCAGCCGTGCCGTGGCTTTGTATGTAGGAGGTACTGGCTTAACCCTTCTCTGGAATTTTCGATAAGTCGCTACATAGTTCAATAAGATTTCTACTAAATTAAACATAGACAAAGTAGTTAGAAACATTATAAGTGATATCAGTATTTATGTCTTAAGGAGGTTTTGTCTAATATCTGCTTTTGCCTTGACTTATTTGCAACTATTTAAGAGTACGTTTATTATTTTTTTTAGGTAGGGTTAGGTAGGTAAATACATATTACGTATTTATTATTAAGTTATAATAAATATCGTACATATTTTTTTAACTCACGACACCTTCGCCACTGAGTGGATCGCAACACCTTTAAAAAAAAAAAAAAAAAAAAAGACGTAGCGCGTACCATGGAAAAGTCTGTCCACCCCCGATTTAATAAGACATTCACAAACCCATAGCTCGTAGCATCTGTCTGCTGACCTAAGCAAAAGAAAGACTGCAGTTATCTTCATCTGGCAGCGGAGACTATACTATAGACTTGCTGTACTATCTCAGTATAGCAAAATTTCGTTGATTCTCAGTGGCTTGACTCAGCTACAAATCCTATTGCGTAAAATATGTCGCTGAAATTATGACACAATTCATAATATACCACATGACTAAGAGCAAAATGACCATAAATTCCATATTTGAAGGTCAAAATGAGAGAAGACAAATTAATTTTGGATCCCAAAGCTTAGCAGAAAAAAAAAGTAATATATTATTCCCATAACAATAACTGTTTTCTGAATGTCATCGTCATTCAAAATCTTTTTAATGTAATAGTTTGTTAATATTTATAATTTTAGGACTAGTTAGCAAAAATCAAAATGAAAGATAGGAGAGCTATAGAATTAAACAACATGTTTACATTAATAAATATATTAATTTATTCAGGCCAAACTTAATTTTGCTTGGAAAAATCAAAACAAGTATTAAATTGCAAATGTTGATTAAAAAAAGCAAATTGTTGATAAGCAAATATCAAGAGGGAAAAGCTTAACGTCCTTAGTTTACTTAAAATAAACTATAACAGGTAAAAATATCTTTGAAAAGCTGTCTAAAGGATAACTTCAGTCATCAGTTTAACCTCTGAGCTTTAACCATAGTTTTTAATCTATTATATTCAAGGTAAAATTATCGCGAAATGAAATTAAATCATATTGGAAAAATAAGAATTTAAATTTAGCTAAACTCAAAACTGTTGCATCACAACTTCTGTGCAGACCGTAGATTTGACTCCAGTCACCAATATTTCTTTAAATGTTAAAATGTTTATTG